GATTTACCAAGATTCAAATATATTTGACGCGTATTTCTGTGTGTGTAGACACTGTGATGGTAGGGGCGTTGAAGGCAGAATCAGGTTGTATAAGAAAGCCGCACCAATCTGCGCCTAAAGTGAACTGCCTGCTTTCTAGTAAACAAATTAAAGGATAAAGTGGCAGTGACAAGCAGGAGAAGGGGACAGTTTAATGCTTTTTTAATGGCAAATGCAGAGAGGGAGAAAGTGGTACCACCACTACCACCAGGCTTGTCACAAGACGATATTACCTGTTTATTTATTATCATTGTGGTTTTACATAAAAGGTTCAGTGTTCTACATGGCGCATTCAATTTGAAATGTCAGCATCAGTACTACCACTTCTACACGCTCCCTTTGGCAATTCGGGGCAATCGTCAGTGAGAAAGAGTGCTTGGGAAAAGTCTTAGAAGTGTGGCGCAATGCGAGGCAATGCAGTGCTCTTTAGTGCTCCACACTGTGGACCTTTGCCATTTTGCCTGTCACTTGTCAGCGACTCGACCAGAGATGAGTCGCCGTCTCGGGTTGCCTGCTTTTGGTGGCAATTGAACAGAGTCAAATGGTAGCGGAGAGGGGTACCAGAGACAGTGCCGATGCTCATGGAGTTCTGGAGTCGGTGGTGTGAGTGCGCACATGGGCTGACTGCTATATACTGCCAATACTGGTCCAGAAGTGAACAGTGAACAGTGGTGGACACATCTCTCAACAGCTCCACCACCACCACCACCACCAGCACCACTCTTCTAACTGGTCTCACTCACTCTGACTGACACTGCAAAGCGCCAGTGTGTCCNAACCACCATTACCAGCACCAGCACCACTCTCCTAACTGGTCTCACTCACTCTGACCGACACTGCAAAGCGCCAGTGTGTCCACTCTTCGACCACTACCTCGCAGGCGACATTTCGCTGATCACACATTGTACTTTCTCTCGCTCTCTCTCGCTCCTTCTCCCTCTCCCAGTGTGTTGATCATAGCACTCTGTGCATGCAAAGTGCCTCCTCAGTCCATCCGTTCAGTCGCGTCCGTCCACGCCGACGAAGATCTCTCTCTTTCTCTCCTTCTCCCCGTCAATTGCCTTTCAATCACAGCTTTGGCTAAAGCTAACAAACAGTCTTCAAACATTCACTCTGGACACAGGCTGGAGCACTTGCCATCATCATCATCGGTGGCGGCAGCAACAGCAGCATCGAAGGTGGACGGACGAGCACCAGTGTCGAGTTTGGCCAACAACAAACAAGTTTACGCACTTTCTCTCACTCATTCTCACCCAGCATCAGCAGCACTTGCACTGAGGAAGGCAGCACCAGGCAGTGTCGCCAGTGCTACTCTACTAAATATCGATACAAAGTGAGTCCATCTTTGTGCCTGTCACACTCTCTCGAGGTTCCTTCTTCATCATCAGTGCACCACCACCACCGCCACAACCATCACTACGAACAACAACAGTACCAAGACCACCACCACCACAACCACCATTACAAGCACTAGCATCGCAGCATCATCTGCTTACAATCTCGAATTGATAATTAAGACAGATGATAACATTCAGCTTCCACTTCTCTCCAGTTGAAGACTGAACGCTCGCTCGCACACACACACACACATTTTCCACCGCTACCACCCTGTTCGACCGTACAGAAGTACAACAGAAGCAGCAGCAGCAGCCTCCTCGTGCAGCAAGCGCTCGGCCAATTTGCCGAAGACGTCGCCAGCACAGTGTGGCAGTTCGATCAGCAGAGCCGTAACCTTGTCGGCCGTCGCAGTCTTTTTCTCAATTGTTACCTCTTCTTCTTCTCCTGTTTTCTCCTTCTCTCCGCCATCACCACCACCACCACTGCTTAACTCGAGACGATCGCCTGAGCTTGAGCGCGCATCAACAGCAGCCAACATCAGCATCAGCAGCAGCGACAACAGAAGCACACTGCACCCTACACCCTGTGCTCTTTGTTCCACCTTCTTCTGGTTCCAGAGTAACCTTTTTGCCTTCATTGACCAGAAACTGGAGATTTAATCTTCGGACAGTTGCTGGCCGTGACCATCACTTTACAGCTGATCATCTAGTTCAACCCGTTTTCCTCGGCACTTGAGCACATTTCCTTCTACCACGCATCACTCTCTTCGTCTGACCTCTTCACCAGTGTCTGCCTCATTGCCAGTTGGTGCCAAACAGACTCTGAAGTGTGTTTTTGCACTATCGCCTAATTACCAGTCGACAGCTCAGCTTTGCTCCTTATCACCAGTCTGACAGTCCTCTCTTTCTTCTCCTATCAAGCCACTCTTTTCCTCTTCAAACTCTGTACATCACACTGGACCATATCAGCAGGGCAATATCAGCTCAAGTCAGCAGTGTCAGTGATAAAAAGGCAGACAATTGTGCTCACGTTGATTCTGGGCCTTCCCCATATATCCTCGGCTATTTTTGGTGACTGGTCAAACAGACAATCTGAGCCCGGAACTGCACTGATCTTGTACGACCATTGTGACGACAACGTTCACCTCAATGCGTCACCCCTGACAGACACACTTTCTCTCCGTTTGCTCTCCTTTTTAACTGGTTTACACTGGCGCCATTTTCCGCGCCAACCTCTTTGACTCACCTCAACCTAAGCTTCAGCTCTCTGTTGATCTAGTGAGAGTTTTCTCTCTTCACCTGCGTAAACTATTTCCTCTTCTACCTGAAATCAATCTGAAATCCTTTTCCTCACCAACTTGAGTTAGCTTGCTCACGTGTAGATGACCACCTCCGATTAGGGCATTAGATCTTCAGGCGTGTTGAAAACCTCGAACTTTGACGATACTTTCTCACTCTCACTCGCTCGCTCACTGTCTCGAAGTGGGCGCATGCGTTTCTGCTTGAAGCATCGACGACGATTACGTCTTTCAGCACTCTGTTACGTCACAAGCAAAGTGGTTTCTCTGCTTAACCTCGAAACTTTCCCAGCTGCGGCAGTGTCTCACTGTACTGGCTTCACTGTGTTTTGTGCCTGTGTGTGTATTTGATTTCCTCGACACTTTGCCGGTGATGCAATCCCGCCAAAAGTTTTGTTTCAACTGTTGATTTGAGCCATTGGAAAAAAAAGAATATAGAAAGCTTCATTCGACGAAGAAGATTTGTCGGAGCTAATTGTGCAATTTTTACTTTTTGAGATCATGTTAAGCAAATAGTCTCCATTTGAAAACATATACTTCTCCGATTCTCATCACTACCCTCTACCTTCACACTGCTTAACTTTCAAACTCTCAGCCAACAATGAACACGGCACCGAATGGCGGCGGGGCCCCAGTGCCCATGAAGCCCTTTGTGCGCATTGTCGAACAGCCAGCAAAGTGCGCCATTCGCTTCCGCTACGAGTGCGAGGGCCGCTCTGCAGGCTCCATTCCGGGCGTCAACTCCACGGCGGAGAACAAGTCATTCCCCACAATTCAGGTGTGCAACTACCGCGGCAAAGCGGTGGTCGTGGTGAGCTGTGTGACGAAGGACCCGCCTTACCGACCCCATCCACACAATCTGGTGGGCAAGGAGGGCTGCAAGAAGGGCGTCTGCACGATTGTCATCGACAACAACGCAGAGATGACCTGCACCTTCACCTCACTGGGCATTCAGTGCGTCAAGCGGAAGGACATTGAGGAGAGCCTCAAACTGAGAGAGGTCATCAAGGTGGATCCATTCAGAAGTAAGTGCTGCCATACTAACCAGTTTTGTCAGATTTTATATAATTTTTAACTCAATTTGTTTGTCCACTTTGCTAGCCGGTTTTAATCACCGCTCTCAAGCTTCTTCTATTGATCTCAACGTTGTCCGACTGTGTTTCCAAGTCTTCATTGAAGGCCCTGAAAAGGGCAAGTTCACCGTACAACTTCCTCCCATAGTCTCTGAACCAATCTACGATAAAAGTAACTGATACTTTTCCAATGTTTTCAGATGGCTAACTACCCTTTCCTTCTTTTTCTGACACCCCCACAGAGGCCATGGCAGAGTTGATCATCACGAAGCTGTCTCACTACGCTGCGCCGTGCACTGGCGGCAAGGAGATCATTCTCCTCTGTGATCGAGTGGCCAAGGACGACATTCAGGTGCGATTCTTCCACGAGACCGTCGACTGTGCGCTGATTTGGGAGGCGTACGGCGAGTTTCTGCCCAATGACGTCCACAAACAGGTGGCCATCAGCCTGCGAACGCCCAAGTACTACGACGAGTCGATTCAGCAGCCGGTCACCATTCAAATACAGCTCCGTCGGCCATCGGACGGATGCACGTCACTGTCGAGAAGCTTCCAACTGACACCACGGGAGCTCGACCCGGACGGACTGGTGCGTAAGCGACACAAGCGACTAAAAGAGGAGAACTACGATCTCCTGCAGGAGTACATTCAACTGGCCAGTGGGCCATCAGCTTCGGGACAGATGGGCGGCGCCAAGCGGTCGGCCAGCGTCAGCTTCACCGCCAACAAGACGCCCGGATCTCCGAAGAAGGACCTTGTTCAGCAGTTGTTTCAGCAGCAACAACAACAGCAACAACAACAACAGCAACAGGCGTCCACTTCGGCGGCGGTCTCCTCTTCCTCAAGGTCACCCTTTGTCTACGGGCCACCTCAGAGCACACCGGTGCTCGCCCAGCAGTCCACTATTGTACAGAGCAATGTACGTAGTAGCAATGCTTTTGATTTTAGTTTATACTATGATATCTATGGATGGCCGAAAAATACATAAAGGATGCCATTTGTTTACACCCTACCATTTGCATGCACTTTTCACTGCACGAGAAGGAGCCCTAGGCTCTGGCACCACAGATTTCCCTTCTTCGTCAGCACCCCTTGCACTATAATGCACTTCATATTACTAAAGCACTTCAAATTTGACTTACCTTCTTCGTTTACTACACTCCAGGAATCCAGCAACAGCCCCAAATCAGCGTCTCCCTCTTCTCAGTTCATTCCCATCCACCACCCTGCTCCGTCCTTCATGACCTACAGCGAGCTCGCCACCGGCACTGACCCCTACGCACGACCGCCCTCCGCTCAGGGTGGCCCTGGTGGCTCCAGCTCTCCCTCATCAGTCTACATCGGCGGCGCCGGTCACCCAGGCAAGTCTCCTCGAACGCCGAACCACCTCGCCAGTGCCGCCTTTGCCTCTCCTGACATGGCCTCCAACATGGTCTACACCGTGGCCCCGCCGCCGGGCAGTTCGCCCAATCCGTATCAGCTGTACCAGCAGCCGCAACCCTCACCGAATCCCTCCATTGCCTCGTACTCTTCGGGTGTTCCATCGCCAGGACAGCCAATGGTCCTCCAGTCAGCGGCCTACTCCATGGGTGGTCAGATGGAGCAGAACAACAACTGCAACCTCCAACAGGCTGAAATGCCCAATGAAGTAGTGGAGCGATTCGACTCGCTGGACATTGACTCGAGCGAGCTCATTCCTGACTTGGAATTTAACTCCAACACAATGCTCAACCTGATGATGGACACTAGCAGTGGTCTCAGTCTCTCTGACTCCTTCAGTGACATCACCAATGGCAATCCAGGCGAAATGAAGATGACCAAATCGTACAACAACGGCGATGCGTACTCCGCCAACCGACCAAACTCCAGACCCAAACTCAAACTTCAAATGGGCGGCTCAAATCCCGCTTTAACGCACACAGACAACCTCGATACGCCGACAATCGACATGGTCACTTGTGGGCTTGTGAACGCCAACTCACAGGTGCCAGCGGTGGATCCGCTGCTTTCCGTTTTGGATGTGGACAACAACAACTTCTCCTTGAACTAAAATGATGGCCAGCACTTCTCTTTTGCAATAATCACAATACTCAAGTATTTTTCTACTTTGACGTGGTCACAATGATTACCTTTTTACTCACCTTTTGAATTTAAAGTCTTATACTCAGCAGTCTTGAACATCAGTTGAATTGTTTTTGATTGACCTTTTCAAACTCGGCACACGCAAACTGAATTCCAAAATAGACATTTTCCTGTTTTTAAAATATCGTTCAAGTTTTAAACAAAAATCTTTAACATTATTTGAGATTGACTTTACCTTTCTATCTGTAAATGTTTTTTCTTCCTTATAAAACTTCTGTACAAACATTCGATTTGGCTACAAATCATTTATGTTCTTTTCATTGTCGTTTAGTAAAATGTATAATTTTGCATAAGTTTATTTCTGGTTTTTTACGATTGAAATTGTCGAGAATTTTATAATAATCTCCCTAACAGGTAATAATTAGGGAATTACAGTGGCAAGAGTAAGATACACTCTGCTCTAAGATTAGCCCTTTTAGAGTTTAGTGGCAGTGAGGGGTCGCTTGCAGTTTATCTATATCCATTCTTTCGTTTTTTATTTTAATGCTTGTCTTTTGCTAATTAATCGTCAGGGCGGGCTTTTCCGTGACGCACACGTATCNGCGTTTTTTATTTTAATGCTTGCCTTTTGCTAATTAATCGTCAGGGCGGGCTTTTCCGTGACGTACACGTATCTGTGCGCAGGTAAGTTAGAGAACTGGAAAGCCCACGATCCATTGGCGGTAGTGACATCGAGTGACCACCAACACTACTAACCTGACGGTAAAACACACATGAACACTGTTTGGACTAATGTTGAAAAAAGATCGAAATGGCTTTCTTAAGCGGTTTGCAGCGGTACTATCATAAGTGGGTAAATCAGGGCACAAGTTTGTTGAGTAGATTATTTTGCTGTTGCATACATTTTGATCTACATTACAGTTATAAGAGCACTTGAGGTTTTATAGCATATAAAAATAGTAAATGAACCCTAATTTATATTTTACGCTTGCTTTAAAATGTCTAAAATGGCACTAAATGCTGTATTGTTTCTTGGCATTCTTTTTGTGTCTGAAGTTTCTATGATAGATGTTCACCCGCCCACCCCAAACACCCAATCAAGCGTTTGCGGAGACTGGCATCAGTACAGAGAGGAGAAGTGCATCAAAATTTTCAATGCTGCGCACACTTTTGATGACGCAGTGGAGCTGTGTCGCAAGGATGGCTCTGAACTTCTTCTAGTCACTTCAGCAGATGAGCAGGACGCTTTGGATGGCTACATCTTCAAGGAGAAGCAAATCGCTGACTCAGTGTGGATCGCCGCAAAGATGAACACCTTCAGTCACATGTTCAAAGCGCTGGACGGTACTGAACTGTCGTACACCAACTGGGCCACCGGAAGGCCTGGTAGCAGTCTCAGCCGAAACTGTGTTCAAATATCCTCCGAAGCGGAGACACTAGGCAAGTGGATGGATGAGCCGTGCCAAAAGTACAATAGAGTGGTGTGCGAGAAGAAGCCCATTTGGACGGTAGCACAGCTGCAGCAAGCACTACTGGCCGACAGGAGAAAGTTCTCAGAGGAGATANCACTGAGCTGTCGTACACCAACTGGGCCACCGGAAGGCCTGGTAGCAGTCTCAGCCGAAACTGTGTTCAAATNTACTGAACTGTCGTACACCAACTGGGCCACCGGAAGGCCTGGTAGCAGTCTCAGCCGAAACTGTGTTCAAATATCCTCCGAAGCGGAGACACTAGGCAAGTGGATGGATGAGCCGTGCCAAAAGTACAATAGAGTGGTGTGCGAGAAGAAGCCCATTTGGACGGTAGCACAGCTGCAGCAAGCACTACTGGCCGACAGGAGAAAGTTCTCAGAGGAGATAAAGCAACTGGCCACCAAGGTGGAGCGACTGGAGAAGAGCAATGCAGTAGTTGTTGGATTCACCTACATCCAACTGCCTCATGAACAGTCGCCAGATCACATTTGGCCAGACTTCACGTGGAAGGTTTGTCCCGAGAGCTGTCTCGGCGTCATCACAGTTTAATATTTACCTTTTCCATCTTTACACTTCACACAGGACATCAGCGCCAGCTATGCCGGCGTCTTCTTTCGCGTCTCTGGCGGAGCGGCGGGCGCCTTTGGATCGACGCAAGAGGAGAACGCCCCTCGGGTGGATCAGATTGAGACTGCCTACTGGACAAATTGCACCTTCAACCAGCAGACGCCACTGGCGGTCAACGGATGGAGTCAACCGGCTAAGACCGGCTACTACGTGGGCACCACCGGGATGTGCACTCGCTTCCACACCACTAGTGGAGAAGTGAGGCCAAAAAATGTGGCGATCAATGTGTGGAAGCGAACCGCTTGAGAGAGAGAGAACGCATCTTTATTCCTCGCGTAAATAAAGAAACTTATTTGTCAAAAGATTTGTATCTCCTTGCAGAGCATCTGATCGAGAATGGTCTCCTTGACTGCCTGGAAGACCACCCTCATGTTTCGTGTGTCTGTGGCGCATGTGAAATGACTGTAGACGACTCGCTTTCGCAGCACAGTCAGATCTACCGCCTGGTAAAATAGTTCCAAAATGAAATCGGCCGCCGCGGCTGGATCACGATCGCCGTCAGAGTAGGCGGGAAAGTAGTCAGACAATCGGTTGGGGCCGTAGAGAATTTTGTCCTCAAACAGGTCGTACTTGTTGAGAAAGAGAATGACGGATGAGTGGCGAAACCATTCACAAGTGACGATGGTTTTGAAGAGGGCTTTTGATTCTTCTAGACGATTGACTGCAGTATTTGCTTTTTAATCGAAAAAAGTGTGATTTTAAAAATCTTTTACTTATAAAACCAACATTGCTACTTACCAGTGGACATTTGAGACATTTTTCTGTTAAGTTTTTGTCTTGAAGGAGATTCAGATTGACTTTCGGCTAGCGCCTTGGCTCTCCACGTANAGTGGGATTTTAAAAATCTTTTACTTATAAAACCAACATTGCTACTAACCAGTGGACATTTGAGACATTTTTCTGTTAAGTTTTTGTCTTGAAGGAGATTCAGATTGACTTTCGGCTAGCGCCTTGGCTCTCCACGTAAGGTACATTGGAAAGACTGGCTCAGAGAGAACCTGGTCAAACTCATTGAGCGCAACGAGAAAGATTATGGAGGTGACGTTCTCAAAACAGTGAATCCACTTTCGACGTTCAGTTCGCTGACCACCGACGTCGACGATGAGAAAGTTGATTGTATCAAGGGAAAAGGTGTACTCGTTGATGCCTACACATTAAAAGCCTGCAAGTTTAATCTAGAGATGCAAAAAAGATGCAACAGCAGTACTTACCATTAGTTGGAATTCTCACCCTGAGGATATCTTGCACTGTGGGAACATAGCCATCTGTCAGTATCTCCTCCAGTCTGGCCATGTAGTACACCGACGAGTCCATTAAATTAAACTCATTTCGGCGTTTTGAGCATATTTGCACGCCGACATCGTTCCAGAAGAGCTCAATCGTCTTCAGGTGTTCAGGTCTGAGTGGGTCGGTGAGCTGTACTACCGACTGATAGGATGACAGGCACATGATGTGAATGGAGCAGCTCGTCGGTGAGTCGGTGAAGGACTCTTCAGGTGACAACTGCTCCAGGAACTGCTCTCTCCACGATATCACCGAAGCGTAGTTGGTGGTCTGCCGAAGGAGAAGATCAACTGCAGTGGCAATCTCTGGTGAGGCGTACTCAATGTGGAGCATATTCATGGCGTGAGTGAGGCTGTACAGCGTGGTGAGCAAGTTTTGGTGAATGCGAGGCACGTACTCCATGCGTTCATGCACTGAATCGTATCCATGCTCGTGGATTATGCGCATCTGACGAATAAAGGTGGACTTGCCTGAAGCAGTAGATGAAAGGTTGACGACAAAATGAAAAGAAAAACAATAAAGAAAAATGCTTACCAGATTCGCCCGTTCCCAGCAGCAGCAGCTTGATGTGCTTCCTCGAGTTTCGCTTTTCCTTTCTCAGTTGGTGTTCAATCTTTTGGTTGATTTTTCGATGAATTTTCGTCTCCTCCGACTCACAGCAGCATCCCGGGTAGGTCATAGGGCACAGTTGACTGCGGTCAAACATAGCGCACCGACAATGATAGGCGCACCGAAATGGCGCCAAATCCAAGTGTGCGAATGTACGCTTGCTGCCTGGGTGAATACTGACTGAATGCCCACTCTTTCTCTCCTCTTCTTTTGAGAGAATTCTCAAGAGGAGTGGCCTCAGTGTCAATTAGGCTGCTAGGAAAGAGGCTTGGATGCGTAAACAATCCCCTGATCAGTGCGGTGCGGTGCAACCTCATAAACCTGTCGCCTTGCTCTGACCTCTCTCTCTCTCTTCCCTTCACTTTATGACCGGCACACAAACAGTACAACTCCATTTGGAGCCCCTTCAGGCTCACCGTTGCTATTGGATCACTCTGATGATGATTCACCCCTGAAGTGCAATAAACGGTTATTCATCGCCGATCACGAGCTCGAGAATTCGCTTGTGATCGATTATTGCGCCCTCCGATGACATTGCCAAAATACGACTTTATGAGCATCGGAACAAATATTTACCGGCAAAGAAGAGAGAATGATAGAGGGGAATATGCAAGTATGTCAGGAACTTACTTCACGATGTACTTTGTACATTCTATCATCATACTAAAAAGTAAACGTAAAAACATTTTTCCATTTANTTTGGAGCCCCTTCAGGCTCACCGTTGCTATTGGATCACTCTGATGATGATTCACCCCTGAAGTGCAATAAACGGTTATTCATCGCCGATCACGAGCTCGAGAATTCGCTTGTGATCGATTATTGCGCCCTCCGATGACATTGCCAAAATACGACTTTATGAGCATCGGAACAAATATTTACCGGCAAAGAAAAGAGAATGATAGAGGGGAATATGCAAGTATGTCAGGAACTTACTTCACGATGTACTTTGTACATTCTATCAACATACTAAAAAGTAAACGTAAAAACATTTTTCCATTTAAAAGTTCACTTAGTGATTAATTGCACTACTTTTGCTTCACTTTGTTTATTTTCTTGTAACAAAACAATTCTATTAGCTGTGATTCTTTAGTCGGTAATCAACTGTTTAAGAATCAAAGAGCTTTTACTTTTCAAATCTATCAATTGGCTTCAATTCTAAGAATAGCTGACAATGCTCTAAAAGCTTCAGCTAAGTTTTATTTATTCAGCTCAAAAACAGACACAAACAAAGATCATGAATCAATAAACACTGATCAAATGCCAGTTTGAAAAGAACTGTTTTGAACATTGTTTATATCAATATTGAAAAGAGTAAATAAAGAATTTGCTCAAATGAGATTTTTGAAAATGTTTGATTGAATTCTGTAAAAGTATTTTGCAGTACGTCCTTTTCGAGCATTATTTGTTTTCATCACGTGACAAAATGACGCAATTTTATTGTCAAAAAATGTTGTCGTTGTGATTACGATTTTAATTTTGCCCGTAGTAAGACTGCTTTTGAAAACTGTTTTTGTGATCATGGACCATTCGGAAGGGAATCAATTGACTGATGACTGTAATAAACATCCGGCAAAAAATGTTAATAAACGGGCAAATGAAGAGTCTTCCAGTGACGATGAAAAAAATAGTAAAAAGAAGAGCAAATCGGCTTCTAAATACCTTACATCATCGAATTTTGTCATAAACAAAGAAGCAATCCCAGAGATAGCCGATGATTCACTTAATGATGAACTAAGACAACTCGGTGTGACCTCTTTCAGTCAAACAGCATACGAAAAAGGTGTTATTGACCAGCTGGAAAAGGCAATTGAGAATACCGCGAATAATGGACTGGTCAGCAGTGTCACCGATGCTCCAGAGGAAGACCTGCCAATCAATCCGGCTATTAAGCCAGATGAAATAATCAATTTTATTGAAAATGAAGAACAGCAAGAGGCAGAAACTGAAAAAGAAGCAAGCGAGGAATCACCAGATGCTTCTGAAGATGAATGCAGTGCTGATGATGATTCAAAAGATCCAGACTTTGTTGTTGGTGACACCGAAATGGACACCACTGACGGCCCAGATTACAGTCAGCTAAATGAATGCTTCGATGACGACTCTGTTGATCAGTTTATTGAGGCTCCTGAAAGCTGTAATGTGCCACATAAAAAGAGAAATAAATCATCAGTTCCTCTTGATTATGTATCGAAATCAACAGTGAGGAAGGAAATCTTTGATGATGGAAATGCCAAACTGTACAAGAAACGCTTGGCAACGCATAGGCTGTTCCTTGCCGAAAACAAACTCGACATTGACGAGGATTACAACGAAGTAATCAGAATCAGTGACCAGGAGGATCTTCTCATTCCTAAACGCATTTGGGATCGCTTATTCGTACACCAACAGCAGTGTTTGCAGTGGCTCTGGTCTTTGCACAAGGACTTTTGCGGTGGAATCATCGGCGATGAAATGGGCCTGGGCAAGACCATTCAGGTGATCGCCTTCCTGGTGGCTCTAAAGCACACAAAGTACAGAGAAGTTGGCCATTTGTACAAAACGCTGGGACCAGTTCTGTTGGTGTGTCCGGCCACTGTGATGCACCAGTGGGTGCAGGAGTTTCAGTCCTGGTGGCCGCTCTTTCGTGTGGCCATTCTCCACACTTCCAGCACCTTCAGAGGAGACAAGAAGAAGCTGATTCGCGACATCTTCCAGTCAAGTGGCATTCTCATTACCAGCTACAATGGCGTCTGCTTGTGGAGTAAAGAGCTGAGCCAGTTAAGCTGGCATTACGTTGTTCTCGATGAAGGTAAGCGACTGGTTGTTTTCTTTAAAAAATATTTTCAAACAACTCTTTTTACTTTTTAAGGTCACAAGATACGCAATCCCAACAGTCAAGTGGCTCACTGCTGCAAGCTGGTAACTGAAGCGTTTTGAATTTGTTGTTGTTCAATGAAATCAACAACTGTTTTTCCACTCTAGTTCAAAACGCCTCATCGACTTATCCTCTCTGGCTCACCCATGCAAAACAACCTCCGTGAGCTGTGGTCGCTCTTTGACTTTATCTACCCCAACAAGCTTGGCCAACTACAGGACTTTATGCGTGAAATTGCTGAACCTATTCGTCGAGGTGGCTACGTCAATGCCTCAGATTTGCAAATTAAAATTGCCTACAAGTGCACTGTCAAGCTGAGGGACACGATTCAGCCGTATCTACTGCGAAGAAGCAAGGAGGACGTCAACCAAACACTGCAACTGCCGCCCAAGTCTGAGCAGGTGCTCTTCTGTAAGCTGACCGATAAGCAGAGAGACGTCTACACTCGCTTCCTCGCCACCGACATCATTCGCGACATCAGTCGCGGAGATGCAGAGGTCTTTTCAGCGCTGATTAAAATTCGCAAAATTTGCAATCACCCGTACCTCTTTCACCCACTCGATTATGAAAGCGACCCCTTCAATGGCAGCTTTTTTCGAGATTCCGGCAAGATGGCCGTCGTACATGCACTTCTGAAGCTTTGGTAAAAGATGGCTCCCTAAAAGAGATGACATAGTAACACTTCTTTTCATTTTATTTTCAGGCGCAAGCAAAAGCACAAAGTGCTGTTATTTTCACAAAGTCGACAAATGCTCGATCTCTTGGAGAGATTTGTTCAACTAAAAGGATATTCGTATCTGCGAATGGACGGCACAACGGGCATCGGTTCACGACAAAGTCTGATAAAGGAGTTCAACACCAATGCTGATTGCTTCATCTTTCTGCTCACTACCAAAGTGGGCGGCATTGGCGTAAACTTGACCGGCGCTGATCGAGTCATCATCTACGACCCTGACTGGAATCCGTGCACTGACATTCAGGCAAGAGAAAGATGCTGGCGAATCGGTCAGGCAAATGACGTCATCATCTACCGCCTGTTGACTGCGGGCACTGTCGAGGAGAAGATCTACCATCGACAGATCTACAAGCAGTACCTAACCAATTCGGTTCTTAAAGACCCTAACCATCGGCGTTTCTTCAAAATTAATGATCTTCGAGAACTGTTCACGCTTAGCTCCTTTAACCAGACAAGTCTGATGTTTTCAGAGTCAAAGGTGAAGTTCAAGAATGTGGATACTTCAAAAAAGAATAAGTCAAAGACGAAGAAGGATTTGCAGACGAGTGTGAACAATCAGCCTGAAACGGATGTTTCAACAAGTTCTCCCGTACCAAAGATTCCTAAAATTCCAAAATTAGGCAATCCTGATAACGAATCAATCTCAACAGCAGGGACACTATCTGAAGAAAAACGACAACAGCTAAAAGAGAAAGCACGCCAGGCGAGCAAACTTTTGGTTTCAAAATTTGGTAAAGACATCAAAGAGGAGGTAGCCGATGGTGGTGCAAGTACCAGCACAAGTTTACCTGTTAAAATAGATGATGCGGCCAACAAATTTAAAAAACCTAAGCGAATCAAAGAGGGGACTAGATGCGAAGGGAAGCGTATCAAAAGTCTGGTCGCTTCGGAAGACTACGAAGAGAATGAGGAGGAGCGAGGGCAAAGGAGATCAAAATCAAGCAGAAGTAAGCCCAAACAAAAAGACGCCAAAAAGGAGGACTACCTTCTCAAGGGCTTGCTCGGCGACGCGCTCGAGTCTGTCCTGCAGCATGACACCATTGAGAACGTCAGGGCTCCCGATCACTACTATATTGAAGCTGAATCGGAACGAATTGCAAATGAGGCTATCGCAAAGATTGTCAACACTTCTAGCCGATCAATGGGTGCCGATTTACAAGCCACACCAAGCAATGTTGGAGGTGATAGTGCAGTTTCCAGGCAAGTCAATGCAGAAGCTCTGGCAAAAATCATGCTAACAAGTGGACCATCCTGCTCTATGGGCGATCCAAAGAGCAGCAGCTCTAATATCATTAAACTGCTGAAATCAAACTCTCTAAAGCAGAGCATTAGTGTATCGGGCAACAGCGCCAACTCTAGTGGTGCTTACTTTCGCGGTGAAAGGGACCGAAATCAGCAGCAGCACCAGACGTCTTCATCGAGCAGCACCGGTCGTATAATTGAGAACAATGAGATGCTCTGTCAGTTGGTTGATTTTGTGCGGTTCAAGGCATCTTTACCCTACCAGGCAACTACGAGCGAAATCATGCACCACTTTGAAAATCGTCTTTCACCGGAGAAATGTGCCATTTTCAAAGCAATGCTTAAGAAGGTTTGCGACAAAAAGGAGACTGGTGGAAAAGTCATTTGGAAACTTAAAGAGCCTTTCCGCACGTAGTTGCCTTTATCATTAATTGAGCTTATTTTAAGTAATAACTTACGAAACATTTTTTAATATATTAACTGTAAAAAGAAATGTTGTCGATGCTGTTACAAGCCAAGGTGGTTTACAAATCAATAAAAAGTATTCGGCAATTGTTGCCTCATAATGGAATTTCTTTAATTCAATATAAACACTTGTAACTTTAAATGCAATTTTTAGTTTTTTACAACCACGATGAGCATCATACCGACAACAACGCCCATTTTCACTGGCGTCCCCCCGGTGACGATCAATTCAACTAGTCATCCTGATGGCCAGTTCACCATTCCCAATGACTGGAACAACCACTGTCGTCAAGATCACGACTGGTGCCGGCACTTCATTGAAGAGGCTATCAAGAACTTGCAGCTACCTTCCCTCTTTCCAGGTGTCACTCTGGTGCCAGCTAAAAAGGTACACGTACACACACTTTGTGTGGCTTACAAAAGCTAACACGCAGATTACTCTTTAACAGATCTCTCCAACAACTCTGCGAGACATCAAGGATCGCTGTAAGGCAAATGTGACTTGCTACGATGAGGCCGTTAAAGCAGAGCAGATCAAGTTAACGGAAGATTACCTAATGGGGCGTTTTCCATCGCTGGTCACTGTCAGCACTTCAAACCAACTTCAGATTGTTTTTGCCATTGGTTTGCTGTGTTTCTTCTTTGCCATTCTCGGCGGTGCGCTCCTCTTTTATTTTGTCTTTATGCCGCACGACCAAATTGGGTGCTCTTTTGGAATTCCATTCCTGGACGATGATCCGCCTCCTGAAGGAGGGCCACTTCCACTACCACCACCACCATTACCACCACAGGAGCCTTTCCAAGGAGGAATGGTCATTCCCGCACCAGCTCCTGGACTTGTTCCAGGACAAGCGGTTCTGCCTGGACAAAACCTGCCAATGACTGTTAATCAAGGGTTTATTAGCACTAACAGCAAATCTAAAGGAAGAAGTTCAAATAGCAAAAAGCAAAAAAGCAGTAAAAAGTCCAAAAAGCAATCAAAATCAAAGAAGAAAGTCAACACACGAAGTTCAAAGAAATCAAGCAAAAACTCAAAAAAGGTTTCAAAGTCTTCGAAATCTAAAAAGAAGAAAAAGTAGTTTGATTTTTGTTGGCAGTTGAAAACTGCAAAAACATTTATTTGCAAGATTAAAAAGCATTAAACCTTTGTTAGAAAGTTGAAAGAGAGTCTACGATTTTGAACTTTGTGCTGTCAGAGTTCAAAGTCATGTCACCAGCACCCTAGTTGCCGCTACTCTAGTGTTTTCGGGTTTCCTTCTCACAAAATAACTCACTTGTTTCTGAGTCAGAAATGACTTTGAACTTTGCTATCACTTCATCTGGTCCCACTGTGCACACTGTTCTCCACCAAACTATATAAACTGAGTTTCTTGAGCTCCGACTAGTCATACGGAAGCGTCGTTTATTCATCAGCTTTTCGCTTCTTTGTTTATTGACAGTTTGGACTTTCCCGCATTGGGCCGCTGCAGCTTCAGCAACATCTTCAGCCAGCATGACTGATTCAACCAAAAAACTATTGCACCGCATGAAAAGCATTGAGAAGATTGTGAATCACATGCTCTCGATGTCTGCCTTTTCTAAGCTTCGCGTCCTAATTGAGAAAAAGTGCGAAGAGTATGAAGAGTTGATTTCTCTGTTGCCCGATTCGGACGAGCATTTGGCTGAAGCTGCCCGTGCCAAGGTCGTCTCGATGTACTCTCGCCTATACAACACTTCTCCGAACTCCTCCGAAGTGACACATTCAAGTGATGTTTCAAGCGACAACAGCATTGTCGTGCCTGGCATCAAACATTTTTGCAATCTTTCAAGCAGTGGTGCGAAAGAAATTCATATCCCCTCAGACAAACCAAAGTCTACTGCTAATGAAAGCGAATTCTCTCTTGCCTTATTGCCCACTCCGACTGAGCCGCCTTTGTCTTCTGCTAGTAATTCAACGGAACGTTCTTCTAGCTCTCAGTCAAAAGGACGCTTTGATTTGGAGAAATGCAAACTGCGTTACGAGATCGAGGCGTCATTTGCCCGTCTGAGCCCAATTGAAAGTGGTTCAGACGTTGAAGCTGTGAAGACACTTCTGGTTGAAACAGCAAAAGCTCGCACCAAGCTTGCTTCGTATCAAAAAGATGATCGATTGCACTCTATTATCTTCAATTTGGCCTTTAAGAAGCTTCAGCTAAAGATGCGCGATCAGTTTCTCGCCATTTACGGACCTCATCTTGGAGGCATCAGTTTGTGCAATCTGGTGAACTTTCTACAGGCTGAGATTGTCGCACAGAACGCAAAGACAGTCAATTTGGTCAACAAAATACTCTACAGCAAAGATAAGGGTCAGCGTTCCACTTTTCAGAAATCGATGAACGAAGTGCTCATTCGCTGCAAGTACTGCAAGAGCCGAGGACACGTTCGGGACGACTGCCCTTGCGTCAAGGGCCTGCTCTGTTTCAAATGTTATCGAACTGGACACACCAAACCTACATGTCCTCAGTATACCTTTTGCTAAGTTTGCACCTTCAAGACTCTCATTGAAATTCCATCATTCTATTTACACACACTTTTACTAATTTCATCTCAACTGTTTACAATTGAAAACCTGTATCCACTTCAATCTGATTTTACTTCACATTTACTCTTTTGTACCATTATGTAGAGTCACGACTTTATATATCAAATGCAGTTTATTAAAAAATAAAAATTATGTGACTATTTTAATACTTTCACCTGTATAAAGTTGTTATGCAATGCAAACATGCAAATAATGAAAACATTAATGTATTAATGCTGTACAATGCAGTAAAAAGCAAAAATGTTTGCTGGTGTACGGCTAAATGACCTTTTACCTGGCCTACTTGCCTACTTTGCTTTGCTTCTGCAACTTGCCAGGATTTTGCTTTGAGTGGCTGGACTTGTTGGCCTTGCTCGAGGCGACCGCTTGTGCCACGCTCGCCTGCGATTCCTTTTCCTTCTCCTGCTTATCAGCAGTCTGTTTCTTGTTGAGCCGTGAGGCGAGCAGACAGATGAAGGTGCAGTTGACGAGCAGAAGGAGGCTCAACACGACGACGGCGATGATCAACCCGGTCTTTGTGGAGACGGTCACATCGCAGAGGACCCGGTTCAGCGGGGCAAAGGTGACCGAGGTGTTGCGGCACTTGCGTTCGTACAGCTTGCGTGTCTCCTCCTTGATGAAGTGCTCCACCAAAGCGCCCTCGTCCGCACACTGGGCACAGGTAGTGTTCACCAAACAGACTGCCATCTTGATCCAGATGCTGCAGTACATGCCAATGTCATTCAGCTTCACTTGCTCGGGGTCCAGGTCTATGTTGATGTTTTTGAGGGTGCTGTCAGCCAACTTGAGCTTGTCGATGCACTTCTGGTGCACCTGTCCGGTGGAGTTCAAACTGAGGAAGCAGCTGCCGTGGGTATCGTCATCTTTGCCGCCTCCGCTGCCGTTGGGAACGGGAGAACTAGTGGTGCCTGCCTTTGCAGCTGGTTCCCCTTTGAGCTCAGCATAATGGTCAAAGTATACGTCGTGGTGGTCATCGTTAGAAGCACTAACGTTTCCATTCTCCAAACTTTCCTTGCCGGCACTAGGCTGGACGAAAAAGTAAACTACCACAAAAATAGCAATCATTTGGAAAGCTGACATCATTGCAAAGACTTTTGAAAATATTCGCCAACTCAGATATCAACAAAACTGTTTGTATGCAGTCACCTTGTTTTGCGTAAGCCATTTTATGCCATTTTTAAAATTTTTAATTCTAAAATTTTTTTTAACTTTTTGAAATTTTAAGCAGCATGTGTTTACCTTCAACTGAAATTTTCGAAGAAATTTTTTAAGGAAGTTAAATTTTAAAATTTATTAAAAAACAAAAAAATTATTAATAGTTTAAACTTTAAAAACAATTAATAAAAATGAATAATTGTAATTAAGAACAATAACAAGATTTGAAAACAAGATAATTATTTTGAATTTTTATTTTAGTTAGTTTTCTGAACAATTAAATATTTGTTGTTTAACTTGAACTTTTAACTTTAGTTTTTAGATTTTACAAGAAAAAAACTAATCAATTTTACGCTTATCTGTTTAAATTATCATTTTTTGTTTAAAAACGACACAAAACTAAAATTTAAAGCAAGTTAAAAAATTTCTAATTTAGGTACTTCAACAAGATTTATATATTTTTTATTTAAAATCATTTATTGATTTGTTCAAAACAGATCGTTTTTTAATTTTTAATATTTGTTTTATTTAAAAATTTATAGTTTTACAAAAAAAAATTTTTGTACAACTGATTTTGTAAACTGCAGTTAAATTAGTATTCAAAATGTTTGTTCCTAGATTTATTCGCAACTATTTTTGCAATTCTCTGGGAACACATCTCGGCTTTACAATGTTAAAACCATGCAAATTTTTTGGTCTTGATATTTGGTCATATGGGCAGCAACTTGATGAAAATAAACTTGAAACAGATCAAGCGACCCAGCTTTACTACTCTGATACTCATCGACTTCCATTAAAGTCTGAAAATGTCAATCAGATAAACAAAAATAAAAATTTCGTAACTTTACGCTTTTGGTTCATTCTCGCCTACATGGTTTTTAATGGTTTTCGATATTTTATCTACATAATTGTGACAGTTGAAAACATTCCCATCACAGATCACTATTTGGACACTTTTCGTTACTTTGCTCCCTTTCCAATGTACCTAAACGTTGCCTCCTCTATGAGTTCGTTCATTATAATGAGGACAATGTTTGCACTCTATGGAACAATCAAGCAGCCGTTAAACCCCAAAGCTTGGTGGATATACATTTTCATTCATTTAGATAATCATAGCAAAACAATGATCGGTAAATCACACCTTTGTTTACCTTTACAAGGAATAGAATTGAAAAACTTTCGTATTGTTGCTGTGGTCGCTTACTCAATTTTGATTGTTTCCATCTTTTTCTACG